TTCTTTCATTTTGAATTGTTACATACTTTCTTAGAGACATGTACTTAGCCAACATTTGTGATAATCTCATCTCATATTATAAATAAACCTTTGTGAGTTAATTCTCTCTTCAAAGTTCTTTGTGAACTTTATCGATTAAGCAAGTATAATTTCTTATACTTGTGGCGTCAATCCTTTTACCTTGATTCCTAAATTCCTATATTTCTATCTAGTGGGTTGAAGACACTTTCACCACCCTCAAGCAAGTTTGTGAAGATCGAGATTGTGCTTCCTAGCAAAGTTTCTTCTTTGGCGTGTTTGAGATACGACTTCACCACCATTTCCATTTCATCATCAACAACATCAACATATTCCATCAAGGCCATCAATATCTTCATAATTCCGCAGCCAACTATATTCATTTCTTTCATTTCATTAATTATCTTAATTATCCATTTCTTATCCTTTACTAATCATATTTCCTTTCTTATCTTTATTGCAGCCAAACTTATAACTCAAGGACATCAGTACTTGTCAATCCTAGATCGGGACACAATAAGGTTATCTACTCATTTCCATTGAAGAGTGTAGATTCAGCCTACATCAAGTGGTGTCAGAGCATAGTTGGATTGACAACAAAAGTTTCATTGGTGTGCAAACAATAGAAGCAAAAAGAAAAAGAAATTCAAAAAGAAAATAAAGACTCTTACAACAATCAAAAGAGATCAAAGACAAAAAGAAGAAAAATTCAGAAAAAGAATAAGAAAGTAATTTCCAAAAGAGAAGCAAGGCAAATGAAAATGCTCTACTATTGCAAGTACATCAAAGAGGCATATCTACACTAAGAGAAGATAACCTTATTGTTTCTTGAGAAAGGTTGCAGTAAGTGTTGTTTTGTTGAATTGTAAGTCATCTATTCCTTTTCTATACTTTCATTTTCCTTTTCTTCAACTTTTTCCTTCTTTAAAATACCTTGAATCCTTTCTTCTAGCTTTTAATTTATTCTTTTCCTTTCTACCATAACCTATTTTGCAGCCGACGCACACAAGAAGAGAAATAACTTATTCTAATCTTGAGTAAGTTATTCAAAGGACTTAGAAAGAGAGATCAAGTGGAAAAAGGCTAATTGAGTGAGTGAGATCAGAAGGGGAATTAATAAAAGCCAAGTTATATTCCTGAGAGTAAACATGAGTGTTGAGTGGAGTGATCTTATCTTTTCTTTGGAGAGAAACTTGTGAGGCTTTGTGAGTGTACTGGTAAGGTTTACTTTTGTTTTATTTGTGTACTAATAATGTGTCAAGTTTCAAGACAAGGTTTGGTAGTAAAAAGAGCTTTGAATATTCAATTCATAGAGGATAATCAAAGAGAGAACATTTTTCACACTTGTTGTCATGTAAACAACAAAGTTTGTTTTATGATTATCAACAAAGGAAGTTGTACCAATGTTGCAAGCACTTTAATGGTGGCCAACTCAGACTCAAGACAACTAAACATCCCATACCATACAAGTTAATGGCTAAATGATGGGGGAGAAGTCAAGGTCACCAAGCAAGTCATCATTTCATTTTAGATTGGAAAAACCAAGACCAAGTCCTTTGAGATGTTGTTCCAATTAATGTGTTCCATATACTTCTCAGAGGGCCTTGGCATTTTGATAAGAAGGTTGTCCATGATGGTTTAACAAACTGGTATTTTTTCTTTCATAGTGAAAGGAAATTCATCTTGACTCCACTTTTACCAAACCAAGTATCTGAAGATCAAACTCATTCAAAAAGAAACATTGAAGCAATGAAAGAGAAACTTAAAGTTAATCCAATTGAAGGAGAATGTTTGGAGAAAAATTAAAATGAAGAAAAGCTTGAACGTTTGAAGGAAAAATCAAATGAAGAAAAGCTTTTTGAAGTTGAACAAAAGAGAATAGATGAAGGAGACGTTGGAGTTGAAAATGAGAGAGTTGAAAAGGACGAATTAGTAGAAAAATAGGAGAATTAAGAACAAATTTTAACTAACCTTACTCTTTCATCTATTCTTCCTATTGTTTTGAAGGATAACCAAGATATGTATCTTTTCGGGGAGATGATTCAAGAATCATGACTTTTGGAGGACTAAAAGATATGACCTTTGAAGAACCAATAGGCATGACTTTTGGTGATTCACAAAACATGTCTCTTGATAATTCAAAGGTTATGCCATTTGAAGTTCCAAAATAAGCATCACTTGAAGTGCCAGGAGTTGTGTTCATTGACATTCCAAGTGCATTGCCAATCATGAAAAGAATTCAACAACCAACTCCCATTAAACATTCACCTCGGTTTGATACTTCCATTTATTTTGTTTATAATTTTTCATATTCTAACTTTGATTTAATTTGCAGGAATTCAATTCATATACATGGTATTATCCTATCAAACGTTGATGGCAAGATCCTTTTTCATTGTGAGATTGATTGGTGCATTGAACTAAACCATTTCAAGAGTATAATGCGAGCATTGTACTCAAGAGTTATCATTTGGAAAGTAGCATTATGCATGAAGGAAACTATTCAGAAAACAAGGGCTTATTCATCTAAGTGCTTGATTTGAGAATGCTTATTGTCGAGACGTAAGATTGAGGACAATTATTCTAACCTTGAAAATACAAAATTTTTCTTTGATTTACAGGATGATTCAAAGAACACAACTTGTCAAGGGAAAGAGCCAAGAGGCGTGATTCATAAAGGCTTAAAGGACGTGACTCTTCAAGAATCTAAGGTTGTGACTCTTCAATCAAAAGACATGATCCTTGGAGGACCAAAGAATGTGTCTTTTAGAGTGCTAAAAGACAAGGAGGTTCAAGACAAATCAGAAACATTTGAATGGAAAGACAATTTGGAGAAATCACCTTTCGATTTGAGGACAAATAGTCCAAAAGAAAGGGAGGATGAAGTGTTCCTGTCTAGCACCAACTTTCTCCATGACATACTCACATCATTGAAGACCCATCAAGCTCAATATAAGGGAGTTCTACCTTAGTTTATATTATATTTACTCATTTATGCACCATATAATATTATGAGCATACATTTGCATATTAGACTATACTTGAATTATCATAACATGTGCATTCATTTATTATGTCCTATGATTTGCATCATTGATTGATATTCATGCATATAATCTATAGATATAATAATAATATTCATTCATTATCATATGATGCATGAGTTATTATTATAACCTATAGTTCACATCTTTATAATATGCACATCCTTATTACATTAATATAGTTCATATACTTAACATATTCTTTATGTTATGTGTGTAGGTACATTCGGCTACAACTTGGGAGCTATCTTGGAGCTAAATGGTTAAATCAACACCAAGGAAACTTACATGGGGACGTTTAGGAGAGCATATTGAACATTTGGTGAAAAGTTGTCCAGAGACCCATGAGCTCATAGTTGGATTGAGCTAAAGATTTGAGCTACAAGATGACTTTAATTCAGCTGGGGAGCTGCACCATCATCATCTCCATTTAGGACACTTCAAATATGTCCTAAGTTAAATTTTGTGAAATCGTACCTTTTCGTGAATAGTTGCCACCTCAAGAGGTACCTTTTCATCTTCGGTTAGCACCTTCACAAATCGTAATCTTTCAATTTTATCATCGTTCACGATGGTGGTAAATTCCAAAATTTTAAAAAGGTATCCAAATTTTAATACTTATTTTGTTTAATAAAATCTGTATGTAATTTTTTTTTCTTTTTTCTTTTTTCCATAACACATTAAATTAAATCTAATAGCTTATTCCATGTTATGTTTATTGTAGTTGCGGATGGTTCTCGTGCTGCAGGATGATGTTATATTCTTATGATGCCTTAACTGCAGGATGACACACAGAGGTGGAAACTGTCTTGCGTGTTTTGTATATTACCCATCTTTTGAAGTTCAGGGATCAGTTCTCCATGGGACAGGCTTCAGTGAAGAACCATAATATCTCGAGCATCATACGCCACAGATTTCTTAACATGTTTACCGATCCAGGTTCAAAAATACTGCCCAGTGACAAAATCATTCTTCTGAGTAGTTATGTCTTGGTTCTTAATTTACTTGCTGATGGATTCCGAACTGACCCTTCGGATATAGCGAAGGATCTAAGAATCAGTAAAGTAGATTTGACACGTCACTTTTTGAATTTGGGTTGCTAACTTCCTGTCCCGCTAACATTTCCTTCAGAGAATTTCAGGAAGAAGCGGAGACAGTTGGATGTTACTGCACTCCTCGACTTCAAATGGAGGTGGGTTTGTCTTGGTAATGTGAGTATGCCTCCATGACGAATTTTGATTATTGATGTTTTCTTTATTTACCCATGTAAGGAAGGATGATTTATGGTTGGATTGATGAGGGGTCTGCAACAGTGTTTTGACATTATATTAACTTCTACTCGAGTTGTATCAATCCAAGAATTAGCATCCTATCCTTCTCTTTTTCTTCTGTGTTGTACTTGTGAAACTCTTTCATGCCCTCCCATTTAGTCATTGTTTCTTTTAATTAGTCTGGGGTGATTCAAAGTAATATTTGCTCAAAAGACTCAATCGGTTTGCCTATGAATGTTTAAATCTCTCTTCAACCCGGGCTCTCTAGGGATAATAACCAAATTACCACCCGTTTTAGTCATTGTTGAATTCAAGTTTTCCTTTGGAAGCAAAGTTGTATAAGAATTCAAAAGCCAATACAACAATCGTTTTAAAACCAGAAATTAAACGTGCAAGGCAATATAGTTCATAATTTCAACGTACCTTTCCTAATACACCATGTCAAGCCTTCATTGGTTTGTATCTCATACACATACAGTTACTGTGCGACCAAGGGACTAATAAACACCACCTCTGTTGGTGGTAACAAGTAACAAGAAACCACCATGCCATAACATTGAAGGTTCTTTTTTTCAAAATATTATTTCTCTTGTACTGTGAAAGAATTTTATGATTAAATCACTTTACATTCACTACAAAACACGTAGGCTGGTAACATAACAAACTACTACATATCTTTAAAGCCACAACATTGAACTAAAGGATTCTGACATGAGAGTGGATGCCAACGAACTAAGTTTCTTTCCAGTCTCTCCGGCAATGTTTTTAAGGTTTGAATATCTTGCTGTGCCTGAAAGTGATATTTGATGATGAGGATAATAATCATAATAATAAATAAACTTAACCCAATAAAGAAAACATGATTAATATAAACTCCTAAATTGCACATGCACTAGAAATACAGGTAAGGCTCAACAGATGCAATATTCATTGCAGACCTGGAAAGAGAGTCGGTTGATGAGATCACTAGCAGCGAGGTCAATAGAACTATCATAAGAGTGACCGAATAGATCAGCACTAGAGATGGCTGTTGAACCCTGCAAAACAAAAACAAAGTGGCTGTCAAATCTCAGAAAACGAAATTTCACGGATAAATTTAACACTTATTACTGCTCAAAACAGATAAATGGATTACCAAAAATTGAAAGAAAAAGTGACGCTATTGAAGTCTACTTTGTTTACAGCAAACTGTCAACTGGAAAACTAAGGATGTTATAAGACGTAATAAATGTCAGTGGTTAATATGGATACAGCATTTTGAGACTTTAAAAAGATGATATCTTTCAAGAAAGAAATACTAGTGCACGTACTGAGAATTTCTGCAATGTAACTTGAGTTTCATTGTCTAATCTGGTATGATCACCAAAATATTGGGCTGATGAAATAGATTTTGCATTAGAGAACTTTCTCCTAGCTTCATCAGTTTCCTGAATCTGAGAATAAAATGAAGCAATAAGAAACAAAACCAAAAGGAAAAAGAAGATACAAGCGGAAATAATAACTAAGATTTATCCTTTTCAGGGGGACATCATACGAGGTGAACACTTCCCAACCCCAATTCTCACACATTACACTACATGGACATCTCCATTATTGGAAATAAAGTTGTAACCCCCTAGACCAAACCTATGTGTCTCGACTAAGTCTAACATATTACATTTAATGATTCTATTTTTCTAAAAACGTTATTCGATAACTTAAATCATATTACAAATTGACATTTATAAAGCATAATAAATAACAATAAAATTCAACTTGTAAATATAAAACTAAAAGTGACCAGATAAATAAAACATTGAATAAATCCGGGGCATCGTAAATCAAATATCAGTAGAAAAAGCAGTAATCATTATAAAAAGATAAGTACTTCAAAAATAAGGCTCATGTCACCATAATTAAAAGCATTTTGGAAGGTAGAAACATTACAACAAAAGTTCTTCAATAATGTGTCAATTCTCCAAGTTCCTGAATCTGCCTATCCACCAGTATCTGAAGAGGAAAAACAATTTGAAAAATGAGCTAGGGCTTAGTGTGTCCCATTAGTGCAGTAAAAACATAATATGAAAAACCATCAATAAAACGTCATGTGTATCATGGAAATCCTGAACATAGGATATTAAATCACATAAAATACCCTCCTCAAATACACCATATGCAGCTCCTAGAACTGTGTCCATGGGGCAACCTTATACCTATTAGTATAAGTGGTCAACCTAAGGGAACACCTTGGGGCCCGAAAGCCTACTCAACTGTTGCCTTAGGTCCGTAAGGATTTACGAGCTTGATCAGAGTTGTACCTCCATACTCCAGCCTACCCATATAATATTCTCATAACATATTACATATAACAAGTGAAGATTTCCATGATCCCTATCTGGTAAGATAATACCGTCCATTGAAAACAATCATTCAAATATCATGCATAGTTCCATCATAGTTCATGAACCATCATCCATTGAATCATAAATTCCTAATTCATAACAATCAGAGTTAATATCATAATAATATTTTAAATCGGGTATTCGAAAAGTTCACGATTCATACGAGTGACTATCGGCTCCCGTAGCCTAACAGATCGAGAAGAGTTGGGTCGAGCTTGCGAACAGTCGTATAAGTCTCTAGTATCTGCAAACAATAACTATTTATCAGTCCCAATTCTTACTATAATCATTCGAAGTTAAAACTCTTAAGTATATATGCATGTTAGGGTTTGACTGACAATTTGGAGGCTTTCAGGTTCGAATTTGGCAAAACAAACTTTGGAATTAGAATTAGGACGTCGAAAAATATAAAATATGACATTTCGAAAATTTTGACTTTTTGGTTAACGGTCAACATTGGATCGGGTCAAATCGGGTCGGGCAGGCGGTCGGGTCGAGTCAGACCGAGTCAGTTCAGACAACTAATTACAGGACTCCACGCTGCGTAAACCTTCCCCACGTGCAGGGGCGGCGCGTGCGGTGACTTATGAGGTCGAAAAATTTCCAGAAAATTTCTAAAATTATTTTAAGGGATTTTGAGAAACTTACTAAGCTCGGTTCAAAATTTTGAATGGCGGAGAGCTCAATTTTAAAACGTCGAAACCCTTAACCTCCTCACCTCCCTTATACTCTAGTGACAACAGAGACAAGAATGACACCAATGGACTCGAAACGATACAAGAAACTCGATGGTGCGGGAGGTGTCGAAAACGGAGCAACGATCGACGACGAATCGACGATTTTCAAGGCGGTGGAGTAAAAAAACTTCGAAACTTTAAATCGAAATTCAAAGCGTTAGACAACGTTTCACGACGAGAGGGTTGAAGGTTTTGTTCACTGTTCGACGATGAACCAAACGGGAGTGGTGATGTGAGCTGGAACGGCCGGACATTGACTAAATTTGGCCTTGGAAGAAGGGGTGCGGGGAGGAAATATTTGGGAATTTGTTTCTGGGTTGCAACCAGATACCAAATTTAACGCATTTATTAGGATTCTCTGTCGACACAAAATGGGCAAATTCAAGTTTAGATCCCTGAAATTTATTTAACTTCTAAAACAGCCTACAAGTTCTGGAAACTTTTAATTTGACCCTCACATTTCACCAAATTGGTTATTTATTATTTTTTTCCAGGATGTGACAATTCTCCCCCTCTAACAGAAATTTCATCCTCGAAATTTACCTTGTAGTAAACAGATGTAGAAATTGAGTCTTTATGGATTCTTTTGTTTTTGAGGTAGCATCTGTAGGACCTCTGTTACTCCACTGGACCATTACCATATGAATACGCTTGTTCCGCAACACTCTCTCATCCTGATCTAAGATCTGTACAGGTTCCTCCTCATATGATAAATATGGCCTCAACTCAACATCCTCTACTGAATGATATGGCTTGGGTCCGGATGATATAACCTCAACATAGACACATGAAAAACATTATGAATACGACTGAGTTGAGAAGGAAACTCAATCTTGTATGCAATAGGTCCTACTCTCTTCAAGATACGAAATGGTCCAATAAATCTTGGACTCAATTTTCCCTTACGCCTGAATCTTAGTACTTTCTTCCACGGGATACTTTTAAAAAGACCTAATCTCCAACCTCAAATTGATTATATTTCCTCCTTTGATCAGAATAAAACTTTTGTCTATCAAATGTCTCTTTCAAACGGTCACGGATCAATCTGACTGTGTCCTCCGTCTCGTGCACTAACTCAGGTCCCAAAGTCTTCTGATCACACAACTCGGTCCAACATATCAGGGTGCGACATCTACGTCCATAGAGTGCTTCGTAGGGTGCCATACGAATGCTGGCCTAATAGCTGTTATTGTAAGCAAACTCAGCCAAAGGCAAAAAGTTCTCAGCTACCACGAAAATCAATCACACATCCTCGCAACATATCCTCCAGAATCTGAATCACTCTCTCAGATTGATCATCAGTTTGTGGGTTGAATGTTGTACTAAAATCTAATCTTGTGCCCAAAGCCATATGTAGCGCCTTCCAAAATCTCGAAGTAAATCTCAAATCTCGATCAGAAATGACAGATAACGGGACACCATGCAATCTGACAATATCCGAAATATACAATCTAGCCAGCTTGTCCAACGTATAATTTACCCGTATAAGAATGAAGTGAGCCGAGTTTGTAAGCCTATCAACTATTACCCAGTCCGAATCCTTTTTCGAAGGGGTCAAAGGTAACAAAGTCCATAGTAATGCGATCCCATTTTCACTCGGGAATCTTGATAGGCTGTAACAACTCTAAAGGATGCTGATGTTTTGCCTTAACTTGCTGACAAGTCAAACATCTAGCCACAAAATCATATATGTCTTTCTTCATGCCAATCCAATGATATCTCTCTCTTAGATTCCAGTACATTTTTTCTCCACTGGGGTGCATAACATATGGACTACTATGAGCCTTAATAAGGATAGTCTGCCTCAACTTAGCATCATCAAGCACACAATATCGACCCTTGAAGCATATCACTCCATCTTGGTCAATATTATAATCTGATGTTGTTCCCATCTCCACTTGCTCAAAAATGGAAAGCAATGAACTATCAAAATATTGCTTAGTCTTGATCTCTTCAACTAAGGTCGTCTTAACTTGCAATTCTGCTAAAAGAGTGCCATCATCAAATAAATTCATTCTGGATATTAAGGACCTCAAATTCGTTATCTCCTTTCGACTCAAAGCAACCGCTACAATGTTAGCTTTACCTGGGTGATAATCAATCACATAATCATAATCCTTTAGAAGTGCTAGGCAACGACGTTGTCTCAGATTAAGCTTCTTCTGGGTCAGAAGATGCTTTAAACTCTTATGATCCGTAAAAATGTAACACTTCTCTCCATAAAGATAGTGTCTCCAATCTTTAAGACAAATATCACTAGTGCTAACTCTAAATCATGGGTCAGATAATTACACTCATACGGTCGTAGCTGACGGGACACATAAGCCACTACCTTACCCTCCTGCATTAGAACACAACTAAGTCCAAAGTGTAAAGAATCACTATACACTATAAAATCTTTTTCGGACTCAGGTTGGGTCAACATTGGTGCTTGAGTCAAAACTACCTTTAATTTCTCAAAACTCTCCTGTTATGCTTCGCTCCATTCAAATGGGATATTCTTACTCAACAGCTTCGTCATTGGAGCAGCAATGATGTAGTAACCCTCGACAAATCGTCGATAATAACCTGCTAAGCCCAAGAAACTACGAATCTCATAAACATTCTTGTGTCGCTTTCAATTCATAATAGCCTCAATCTTGCTCGGATCCACCTGAATACCCATTGCCGAAACAATATGCCCAATGAATGACACCTCTCGAAGCCAAAACTCACATTTGCTCAACTTAGCATACAACCGATGCTCTCTCAGAGTCTGTAGAACAATCTTCAAATGCTAATCATGCTCTGCCTCGGTTCGGGAATAAACCAGAATATCATCAATGAATACTACTACAAACTGATCCAAATATGACTGGAACACAAGATTCATCAAATCCATAAAAGTTATGAGAGCATTCGTCAAACCAAAAGGCATCACCAAGAACTCATAATGCACATATCTAATACGAATGGCAGTCTTCGCAACATCAAAACCTTTAACTTTTAACTGATAGTACCCCGAACAAAAATCAATCTTAGAGAATACAGTAGCACCTCACAATTGATCAAATAAGTCATCAATCCTAGGTAGTGGGTACTTATTCTTAACCGTCATCTTGTTCAACTTCTGATAGTCAATACATAGCCTCAGCGATCCATCCTTCTTTTTCACAAACAGAACTGGAACTCCCCAGGGTGAGGTATTATGCCTGATAAATCCTCGATCGAATAATTCTTGTAAATGAGCCTTCAACTCCTTAAGCTCCTTTGGAGCCATGCGATAGGTGTCATGGAAACAGGTGTAGATCCTCGATAAGTCTCAATCTCGAACTTTACCTCTCTATCAGGAGGTAACCTTGGCAACTCCTCTGGAAAGACATCAAGAAAGTCACTAACTATATAAATCTCCTCAATCATGGACAAGGAACCTTTAGCGATCAGAATACAGGAAATGAAAGCTTAATATCCCTTTCAGACCATACGATCAATTACCATAGCTGAAACTATATTGGAGAGATAGCCGCGACGTTCACCAATTAACATAATAATCCGACCATCAGAAGTCTTTAGAGTAGGTATCTTGTATTCACAATCCAAATTGACCCTATGTTTATTCAATCAATCCATCCCCAGAATTAATTCGAACTCCTCTAAAGTAAGTTCCATAAGGTCAACAAGAAAACTTTCACCCTGAACCTCCAGAGGACAACGCCGAAATACCTTATTCACCAATAATGACTGTCTTACTAGACTCATAACCGTAATAGTATTATCAATGTCCTCAATCAGAATCTGGAGATTTTGAGATATTGAACTCGATACGTAAGAATGAGTGGAGCCATTATCTAGTAATGAAAATTATGGAACATAATATATGGTAAATATACCTACAATAACCTCTGGCTCATCTTTATCATCCTGATGTCTGGTAGTATACACTAGAGCTGGATGTCTGGCATCCGAAACTGCAGGATCTCGATTCTACTGGGTTCGAGATCTACTATCTACCCTGGATGCTGATGTGTAAGGCTTTTCCTAACTACCACCTCTTTTTGCGGTCTTAACTGATGCTTACGAACGTGCAAAAGTCAGAGTAGTTATCCACTCAGATGAAGCTAGCTGTGGACATTACCTCCGAAAATGACCACTAGAACCACACTGGTAGCAAACACCCATCTTCTTATGACACTCTCCCCTGTGTCGATTACCACAAAAATCACAAAGTGGCACCTAAGACATCCCCGAAGAACCACCTCGACTAACAGCTATAAGTGAAGATGCTGCAGGCCTAAAATAGGTATTGCTCTTTTGAGGGGCCGAAGTACGAGTCCTCTTCCCTGACTGTGCAGAAGACTCGGTATGGAAAATAGATTTCTTAGATCGCTCCTAATCGACACACTCCCTAACAGGAGTGAAAGCCTCCACCTCTCAGTATCTTTTGCCCTGCCCGCCAGCACATCAAAAATCTCATCCTGATGGGTCAAACCTGCCTACGTAGCTTATATTTGATTCCGAGAGAAAATTTGGCGCATCTATCTCTCTCAGTGGGAACCAAAATAATGCCATATTTTAACAGTTTCAAGAACTCCATCCCGTACTCGGCGACTGACATATCACCCTGAACCAAGTCCTAAAACTGTTATCGTCTCTGAGCTAGATAACTCTCTCCCAGAAAATGACTCTTAAAATGCTCTCTGAAGAATTCCCAAGTCAAACAATTGATCGGAACACTGCTGACCACAGACTCCCACCAGGAGTGGGCATTTCCGTCCAACATAGAAATTACTCCTAAATAACATCGATGTAGATCTAAACCTAGTTGATCCATGCGTCGCTCAGTATCACTGAGTCAATCCTCGGCCTCAGTCGAGTCTCCACCAGTAAGTCCACTAAACTTCCTGACACTATTTGCAATAAGGGTCTGAGAGATAGGAACCTTGGGTACAACGCCAACAGCTCAGACCGTTCCCTGAATCAACTAAAGAAATTGTCTACCAAGATTCTCATCTAATACAACTCTAGTTGACTCGGGCTCAGTAACGGTCGCTCCTCTAATCGGAGTAGTCAAGAAAATACCAGAAACATGAGACATATCCGTTGGGGTCGGAGAAGTATAATCATCTATCGGAGACAGGGGATCTACACGTATCTCATCTATCGGGTCTGCAAATCTAGCCTCTCGACCGTGACCACGTCTAGTACTCATCTTGGTGGATCTCGAGTTTACTACAGAAAATAAAGCCTAAGATTAGATTGGTACTTGGAGTCCCAAACACAATTTAAAATCGTAAAAACTTTATAACATGGCCTTAGTGACTTGTTTTGTAAAACATGTCAAAATTGTATTTCCAGTTTGGAATCATACACAGTTGAGGTTTAAAAACCAAAAGCTCTGATACCAATTAAATGTAACCCCTAGACCCAATCTATGCGTATCGACTAAGTCTAGCATACAACATTAATGATTGTTAAAGACATTTTTTCTAAAAACGTTATTCGATTACTTAAATCATATTACAAATTGACATTTATAAAAGTATAATAAATAACAATAAAATCCAACCTGTAAATATAAAACTAAAAGTGACCAGATAAATAAAATTTGGAATAAATCTGGGGCATCGTAAATCAAATATCAGTAGCAAAAACATTAATCATTATAAAAAATATAAGTACTTCAAAAATAAGGCTATGTCACCATAATTAAAAGCATTTCAGAAGATAGAAACATTACAACAAAAGTTCTTCAATAATGTGTCAATTCTCCAAGTGCCTGAATCTGCCTATCCACCAGTATTTGAAGGGAAAACAGTTTGAAAAATGAGCTAGGGCTCAGTGTGTCCCATTAATGCAGTAAAAACATAATATGAAAAACCATCAATAAATCATCATGTCAAGTATCATGGAAATCCTGATAAAACATAGGATATTAAATCACATAATATACCATCCTCCCAAACACCATATGCAGTTCCCAGAACTGCATCCATGAGGCAACCTTATACCTATTAGTATAATGGGCCAACCTAAGGGAACACCTTGGGGCCCGAAAGCCTACCAAAGTGTTACCTTAGGTCCGTAAGGATTTACCAGCTTGATCAGAGTTGTACCTCCATACTCCAGCCTACCTAAATAATATTCTCATAACATATTTCATATAACAAGTAAAGATTTCTTTATCTCTATCCGGTAAAATAATATCGTCCATTGAAAACAATCATTCATATATCATACATAGTTCCATCATAGTTCATGAACCATCATCCATTGAATCATATATATATATATATATATATATATATATATATATATATATCAAGCCATTTAAAACCATTAAATAGCACATAGGGAACACTAGTAAAATTACTAAGAATTGGCCTCATCACGCTCTGCTACAGTGCTCGAACCTAATTCATAATAATTAGAGTTAATATCGAAATAATATTTTAAATCGGGTATTCAAAAAGTTCACGATTCATACGAGTGACTATCGGCTCCCGTAGCCTAACAGATCGAGAAGAACTGGGTCGAGAAGGCGAGCGGTCGTATAAGTCTCTAGTACGTTCAAACAATAATAATTTATCAGTCTCAAGTCTTACTTTAATCATTCGAAGTTAAAACTCTTAAGTACATATGCATGTTTGGGTTTGACTGACAATTATGAGGCTTTCAGGTTCGAATTTCGCAAAACGGACTTCGGAATCAAAATCAAGACGTCAAATAATATAAAATATGATTTTTTAAAAATTTTAACTTTTTGGTCAATGGCGGTCCACGATCAACGGTCAAAGGTCAATGTTAGACCATGTCAAATTGGGTTGGCAGACAATCAGGTCAAATCGGGTCAGGTCGGGTAAGACATCCAATGCCCCTTCACGTGGGGGCACGTCCAGTGGCCTATGAGGCCAGAAAATTTCCAGAAAAATTTCTAAAATTTTTTAAGGGATTTTGAGATACTTACCAAGCTAGGTTCAAAATTTTGAACGGCAGAGAGCTCGATTTTAGAACACCGGAAATTTTAACCTCCTCACCTCCCTTACGCTCCGGTGACAACAGAGACAAGAAGGACACTGGTGGACTCGGAACGATGTAAGGAACTTGATGGTGCGGGAAGTGTCGAAAACGGAGCAACGATCGACGACGAATCGACAATTTTCACGGTGGTAGAGTAAAAAATCTTTGAAACTTTGAATCGAAATTCACAGCGTTAGACAACGTTTTACGACGAGATGATTGATGGGTTTTGTTCACCATTCGACGATGAACCAAACGGGAGTGGTGGTGTGAGCTGGAATGGCCGGATAGCGACCAATTTGGCATTGGAAGGAGGGGTGCGAGGGAGGAAATATTTGGGAATTTGTTTCTAGTTTAGAATTCTCTGTCGACATAAAATGGGCAAATTCAGGGTTAGGTCTCTAAATTTCCTTTAACTTCTAAAACGGCCTACAAGTTCTAGAAACTTTTAATTTGACCCTCACATTTCACCAAATTGATTATTTATTATATTTTTCCAGGTTGTGACAAAAGTCTATTTGATTCGTTAGGTAAAGGTGACACATTCAAGTAGATTAATGACCGAGTACAAATTTTGAATTTCAATGAAAAATGCAACTCGAGGCTCCAGTTAAAAGCACAACCAGAATAATATACTAATTTCAATCTCTTCATGTCAGACATCCTCGTGAAGTTGAAAACCTCTCTAGCAGTACAAGGTTTTCAATTTACCTTGAATGATACGAAGAATCGTAGAGAAAGTAAGATGTTCTAAAACCAAAAGGAGACAATCTCATCAAACTAACCAGCGTTTTATACACAAAACATATAAGTTCTTGGTCATGTTACTCACTTGCTCTTTTGAGGTATTTGAGCTTGATTTCTTCTGAAAACCGCTGTCCATTTCAAATTCTACAAAGAAACTTGATGACTTTGGTGGAGCGACATGGCTAAGAATTTGTGGGCCACCAGAACTCAACTCAGTAGATTGAGCATTTTCTACATACTCAAAACGAGATGGAAAAACTGAGCCAATGGGTGCAGTGTCATTGGCGGGGAAAGGAACAGGGACAACTTCAGGTTTTTGATCATAGAGATTTTCACTTGGCTGCAGTAAAGAAAATTATGTCATCATGGGTATTTAAAATAACTCCAAAATAATTGACCTTTCTAATCTAGATATCCTTATGAACCTTCAGCGGTAATCGCATTGCTCAGGAAGGTCTGGAAGGAATACCTTTGAAGTACGCTTTCTGGCACTAAGTCCTCTAGTTTTCCCAGTTCTTTTTGCACCTAAAGGTTTCTTAACAGTACTGGTAACAACTTTATGAGAAGCTTTCGGTGAAGGAGGAAGTGGTTTTTCTTGCCCGCCTAAAGAACTTCCTTTAGGATCTTCATCAATCTTGCTATGATGAAGTCCATTGGGTGCTTGTGGTAACTGAGGAGCAATAAGAGATGAAGGCAAACTTGCCTCTTCTGCCATACTCTTGGCAACTTCTTTAGATAATATTTGCCTATATAAATCAGCAGCTCTTGAAGTATATTTGGCCTCAATTTTGCCTCCATCAGTCCGTCCATGCTGCTTAAAGAAAACCTGAGCACGGTTGTTTCCTCCATAGATCATCATTTTCAATTGTTCAGGAGACCAAGAATCTAAATTTGTAGACCTGCATAAAATATTTGCGCTTTTCAGAAAAAGAGAAACCCGAAGACTTGAGAATATATTCACAGAGCAATAAGGTATGGTGGTATTGATATCAAAAGAATCAAGTACTGCTCGCTAATAAGAATGCTTCACCAGTAAAAACCAAATATCTAAAAAACACTTCTGCCTTTTTGGCCAGAAAAGAAGCCAATATTGACTCCTGAGAAAGTGGTGTTTGTACCTTCAGATTTGGCTAAACATGAGCACCGACAAACCTAACAAACAAGGAATAAAATATAGGGAGGTAATGCGCATACTACATTGTTACACACCAAAACGCATAGACAGGTTATGCTAATAACAGATTAATCTCTAAAAAAAGGTTTCTTCAATCAAAAAAGGCACCTCCCTAAGTAGATCTCAAAGCTATATCAAAGGGAGAACAAAAGCTAATGCATGGACAGCTTACCCCGTTTGGGTGTATAAATCAACAAGTGAAAACCTTATATTACCATACATAACAAAATCCCAAAAGAATAATGCAGTTCAGGATTCTCACAAACACTAGAAACAAACAGTGTATAGTCATCTCTGTACGTGAAAATTCATAATTTAGGAGTACAAGCAAAGAATACAAAGAACCGAATTTTCTTGTTTCATTCATTCCTTCAAAGGAATTCCAAAACTCCAGAATATAATTGGTCAGTAAAACGTTTTCCATATTTTAATCCACACTAGATGTATCAGTTCTGATGGATAAATCTCCTCATAAAAGTTTATCTACAGCGCGGGGGAAAGCATTTACACGTACGATTGAGAACTTGGAAGCTCAAAATTACAAAACATCAGTAATTCAAGCAAAAACACGAAAACTAGTTCCGAAAACATATTTAAAATGATAATAACAAAACCTGACAAAGCTGATGTGTACACCGAGACTCCGATGAACGGCTGAGCAATCAATGCAAAGAAAGATCCCGTAAGTCACTGACGCCCATATTGGATTCTTTGCATTGCAATCGAAACACATCTAATGATACAAGCACGCCTACTCCACTTGGTGAGATAAGACTTGCACTTTGATTATAGGACCTAGGAAGGCAGCAAGTGTTCCTGAAATAAGAATGTTAGAGTATGCCCAAAGATCAATCATATGATGATTGTAATAATATTTTTATTTACCGATTTTATTGAATAAAGGCATTGTCGCTATTATTTTCATTTATATATATATATGTGTTTAACATAAACTGAAAGATAATAAAGTCCATTTAATGACATAATTGTTATTATTAAACACATCTAATGATACAAGCACGCCTACTCCACTTGGTGAGGTAAGACTTGCACTTTGATTATAGGACCTAGGAAGGCAGCAAGTGCTCCTGAAATAAGAATGTTAGAGTATGCCCAAAGACCAATCATATGATGATTGCAATAATACTTTTATTTACCGATTTTATTGAATAAAGGCATTGTCGCTATTATTTTCATTTATATATATGTGTTTAACATAAACTGGAAGATAATAAAGTCCATATAATGACATAATTGTTATTATTAAAAGATCCCTAGTCAAGTATTATTATGAGCATGGACAATAATAATACGCTTAAGACTAACATGTTATTGATTGATGACAACGAGTTGTCATTGACATAGAGATGTCAGAATTGATACATGATTATATTGTTAGAGAACAATGTATTGGATTGACCGACCATGAGCAAATGTCTTGGATTATTATGTGACAGTCATAACATTGCTCATGGTGATGACTATATGTATGATCCTCAGACTTGAGATCAATACTATCCCAACATATATTGTTGTATGTTTTGATGCAGCTAAACAAGCTCCGTAACTAGTTGCTCTATAAAGACTGTTATTGAATATATCTCAATATATGTAGTGGGTGTGTAAGATTAAGATAGGATTTGTCCTTCCTACATAATAGGAAATTTATCACAGGCTACTTGATTGAGTAATACTAGAAACGCGTGGACATGCTCGAATAAGTTGATATGAGATATCATAAATTATTCGTTAATTACAGTCTACTCTAGATATCAAGAAACAATAGATGAGTTATACAAGTGTGACTATTCCAAGACTTGTGTCTATTCTAGATATAAAGGACATAAGGATAATACATAAAAGAGTTAATCACCAAGATGATATGCCGAATCATATTTTCTTGTAACTTAGGTGACAATGATATATTGCTAGATGTCACTCATTATATGTAATATTAGAATTGTTCTAATAATTACTTCTAACGTTACAAGAACCTACAAGGTCACACCCTAGGATTGAAACGAGCAAAGATGTACAATTTGTTGTACGTTACTAAAATATATATCTAGAGTTAATTAAATATATGTTTTAATAATCCCGAATATTTAATTTCAATTAATTAAATATAGATTTAATTAATTTGAAATAATAAAATCCCTAATATTATTAGGGTAACTTGGATATAAAAGGATTATTAAATTCCAATTAATTAAATATAGATTTAATTAATTTGAAATAATAAAATCCTAATATGATTAGGGTAACTTGGCTATAAAAGGGTGTGTTAGGTCTAGCAGCCGTTTTAAATACACACACACACAAAACCTTCAACCGTTTTTCTCTCAAAACTGTTTTGGGGAAGAAAAATATTGCTCTCAATCAGGTGAACTGAGTAGAGGCCGAGACGTGATTTCGTGGAGGCTTACGATTCAAACCGATCTACACCACCAGTATTCACTGTTGTCCTTGCTATTTTTCAAGGAACCCGTTGTAAGTATTTGTATCCCTTCCTCCTGATTTCAGTTTTTCGTACTTGTATCGCTGGTGAGACCATCGGGTTTTGTTTCCGCTGCGCCATGGGGTGTGCCGACGATCCCAACAAAGAAGACTTAAAAGAAAATGGTTATGTATGAATGAATAAGTTGGTAAGATAAAAATGGCAGCGGAATAAATGAAGATGATGATATGTTTGAAAGAATTTAGAGAAGTATTTGTATGGTGGAATGATGGTATGGTTATGGTTGAGTTTATGAAAGAAAATGGAAGATGATGGATAGTATCTGAGAAAGACCAAGGAAGAACCAGTACTAAAATGATCAAAGACCTAGCCTTACAAATCTCTCTAAGGGGTGGTAGAAAAGGACTTGGATCCACTACCTATAAAGAGATAGGAACCACAAGTATCAAGGTTGATAGAAGATAGGTGACGCCACAAGCTCAAGAGCACTTGATAAGTCGATATAGTTCTTAAAGAACTAGAAAGAGAGAAAATCTTACAAGTTTTGATTAAATAAAGTTGGTTCCTTTACAAAATGAAAGCTAAAATATTTATAGGCCTAAGGATTCCTAGGATACACATACAAGCTTTAATGAGTGAACATTCATGGATGAATGTTCATACTTTAAGTAGATACAAAACATGGCTTAGGTGAATGAATTTGATGAATGGATGTTCATCTTTTAATGGAATGCATCCTTTGGCCGAATTCATCCCACCTTGTGTGAACTTGTTGATTTGTCTTCTATGGATGAATGTTTATGAATACATCTTGGCTGAAATTCTTCCCCCCTTGTGTGAACATGACTATTTGGCTTCTTGCATGAATATGCATGAATGGATGAACTTAAAAGCCTTTGAATGAATGCTTGCACCTCCTCACAAATGTTCTGATTTATTTTAATATTATTTTCTCGTCCATGCATGTCTTCATTAATTCCTCCCATGCATAAGTCCTTTGAAGGAGATGAATGGTTGCGAATCCCGTATTTATTTCCAACCTGCAATGTCTTCAGTAATCTGGTCATATCTTGAGCTCCTAATATCGGATTGATACGATTCAAAGTGAGTTGGAAATATAAGAGATATTGGATTAAATATTAAGAAGATTTCATCACCCAAAGATTCTTGTAACATGTTCTAAAGTTGTGATTAATCTTAGTGACATCCACTGTCCATTGGATTGCCTTGAATGTACCTTGCACTAAATACAAAATGTATATAAGTTATAATACTCAAGGTAATGAATAAGTAATAAGTAAAATTATAATGTAACACATGATTCCATGGCTAATATAATAATGCAATGGATATGATAACATAAGTAAGGAACGTGTAACATATGCATGAAACAAGCTAATTAAAGATGTGACATGCATGAATATCATATAGGATGCAAACATAGGACAATATATGAATATTCATGCATAGTTTAGAATGTCAAAGCATGCTTATAACACATATAAAGCATAAATGAGTAAATAAGTAATAAAATAAGGTAAGACTCCCTTAGAATTAGCAAGGTAGAACGTCCATGAAGTGATTATGTGTTGAAGAAGTTTGGTCCTTGTTATGATCGCATCATCCCCCCTTCTTTAGAGCGATTTTTCATCAAATTGAAGGCTTCTATCATTGATTGATCCATTAGTGTAAGAAAGGATGAATGAAGATCATTATGCCTATTAGGGTATGCATGAATTTCTTTGAATCCTTCGAGTTGGTAAGTCACGCCAACTTTAGTATTTGTACCCTTCCACATTATGAATCTTGAATAGTTGGATAATGCTCTTTTCTTTTCCTTGAATTGATGATCACAAGAAAGAACACTTCCACGTAAATGATTCAATGTGATGCAAAATAGAAATAAGTTAGAACATGAAACATCATTAACAATGTGAATGAACGTACATGATTTATTAAGGTTCATGAATGGAATTTCGTTCATTGAAACTTCCCTTAATAAGGTTCATTGGATCTTGAATATGAAGTGAATGTACTTCGAATGTCAAAGAGCACATGCTTTGGAATACCAAATGTTACAACCTTTGGAACTTCAATGGACAAATGTAATTCATCAATTTGTAATGAGATTGCCTTTGGAATAACCTGAAAATCAAATGAAAGAATATGAAGAAAATATTGATTATTAGAAAGTAAAACTTTCTTCTCCTCACATTCTTTTCTCTCATGCTCATGTTTTTTTGAATTCTCTCTTCAATCTCACTCTCATGTTTTACAACACACTCATCTTCACTATCAATGCTCTTACTCTCATTTTCGATTACTCTAAGGGCCTTCTCAAGTAAAATCACTCTCATTTTCAACTCCAAATGTCTTGGTTTTCTCACGATGTTCTTCAATATTTTTCTTCAGTTGAGTTTGGTCTTCATGCGCTTGATTTGGCAACATTGGCACCAAGGTGATTTTCTTTTCATTATGGATGAATGAGAAGTGATTGGTGAAGCAATTATGTGTTGCTCGTTTATCAAACTGCCAAGGTCGACCGAAAAGAAGATGGCTTGAATTCATGGGAACAACATCACACAATACTTCATCTTTGTATCTTTCGATTGAGAATGGTATAAGTACTTGTTTAGTGACCTTCAACTCTTCTTTGTCGTTTAATCATTGCAAATCGTATGGGCTGGAAAGTTTGATCATTGTAAGCTCCAGCTTTTCTACCATATATGTGCTAGCAAGGTTTGCACAACTTCCACTATCAGTGGCTACAAGACATACTTTACCATTTACGTGGCAACGAGTATGAAATGCATTCTCTCTTTGCTGAATGTTCTCCATTTCTTGGGAAGATGAAATATCAAGTAACATTGTTAGTGAAAAAAATTAAAATGTAAAAATAGGACCTTAACAATTTGTACACAACAAAACCTCACGCTCACTCCAAAAAAATTATGATGTCACTCCACTCAAGCACTCATGTTTCACTCAAGAATATGTTTTTGGCTTTTTTTAGTTCCCCTTCTGATCTCACACGCTCTTTATGCCTTTTTCCACTCGTTTCTCTCTAGTTAAGTTCTAAAAGAACTAACTCAAGACCTTCAAATGAAGTGCTTAGGTGTTTGCTGCAAAATGATGTTAGGTAGGAAAACAAACAAACAAAAAGTAAAAGGTTGGCTTAAGTAGAAAGGAAAATAATTGACAGAAGGAAATGAGTCTTACTACAAGACACTTACAACCTTCCCTAGCCACAATCAAAGTCTTGAAAATGGCTTCAGGCTTTCTTGCAATTGTTATTGTAGATCACCTTTTGATTTCACTTTTATTCTCTTTCTTGCTTTGATTCTGTCTTTCCTTTTTTTTTTGTATGTTTTTTAATGATTTTTGAATAGCACTTATTTTTTTACTGTTGGTTTTGCTTGATTCATTGAATCAAAACTTCACAACTTGCTTGCTTCCACCTTAACTCTTATTACTGTATCATACAAGCATGCCCTACTCCACTTGATGAGGTAAGACTTGCACTTTGATTGTAGGACCTAGGAAGGCACAAGTGTTCCTGAAATTAAAAGACTTAAAAGAAAATGGTCATGTATGAATGAATACGTTGGTAAGATAAAAAGGGTAGTAGAATAAATGAAGATGATGATATTTTTGAAAGGATTTAGAGAAGTATTTGTATGGTGGAATGATGGTATGGTTATGGTTGAGTTTATGAAAGAAAATGAAAGATAATGGATAGTATCTTAGAAAGACCAAGGAAACACCATTACTATAATGAGCAAAGACCCAGCCTTACAAATCTCTTTAAGGGGTGGTAGAAAAGTACTTGGACCCACTACCTATAAAGAGATAGGAACCACAACTGTCAATGTGGATAGAAGATAGGTGACGCCAGAAGCACAATATCACTTGATAAGTCGATATAGTTCTTAAAGAACTAGAAAGAGAGAAAATCTCACAAGTTTTGATTAAACAAAGTTGGTTCTTTTACAAAATGAAAGCTAAACTATTTATAGGCCTAAGGATTCCTAGGATACACATACAAGCTTTAATGGAATGCATCCTTTGGCCGAATTCATCCCACCTTGTGTGAACTTGTTGATTTGTCTTCTATGGATGAATGTTCATGAATGTATCTTGGCTGAAATTCTCCTCCCCCCCTTGTGTGAACATGACTATTTTGGCTTCTTGCATGAATATGCATGAATGGATGAATATAAAAGCCTTTGAATGAATCCTTGCACCTCCTCACAAATGTGCTGATTCATTTTAATATTATTTTCTCACCTATGCATGTCTTCATTAATTCCTCCCATGCATAAGTCCTTTGAAGGAGATGAATGGTTGCAAATCCCGTATTTATTTCCAGCCTGCACTATCTTCAATAATCTGGGTATATCTTGAGCTCCCAATATCGGATTGATACGATTCAAAGTGCATTGGAAAGATAAGAGATAGGGGATTAAATGTTAAGAAAAATTCATCACCCAAAGATGCTTGTAACATGTTCAAAAGTTGCGACCAATCTGAATGTCATACACTTCCATTGGATTGCCTTGAATGCACCTTGCACTAAATACAAAATGTATATAAGTTACAATGCTCAAGGTAATGAATAAGTAATAAGTGTCATTCTAATGTAACACATGATTCCATGGATAATATAATAATGCAATGGATATGATAAGAAAAGTAAGAAATGTGTAACATATGCATGAAACAAGCTAATTAAAGATGTGACATGCATGAATATCATATAGGATGCAAACATATGACAATATATGAATATTCAAGCATAGTTTAGAATGTCAAAGCATGCTTATAACACATATAAAGCATAAATGAGTAAATAAGTAATAAAATAAAGTAAGACTCCCTTAGAATTAGAAAGGTAGAACGTCCATTAAGTGATTATGTGTTGAACAAGTTTGATCCTTGGTATGATCGCTTCATCTAACACACACACACAAAAATCGAATATCAACTTAGGAATATCATATCTGAATCAGGTCTACAAATAAAGCTAGGAAAATATTAAAAAAGGGGACGGAGAAAACCTTGTTTTCTGATTTTGCTTTCAGCTTTCTAAAAGCAACATTCTTGTCTGTCAGATTATCGGACGACAACATCAATGCACTCCTCTCCCTCTCTTCTCAAAATTTTTGAAGTTTAGAAAGAAAAATATATTATTTATTTATGAAGAATGAAGGAAAATTTGATGGGCTGAAGAGGGTGGGATCGATTACCGAACACCTCCTCAGGCTAGGAATAGCAGAATGACCCGAACCCAACGGGGAAACTTGAAAGTCGGATAAGTTCAGGTCGGGTCGGGTTTGAATAATATTAGGTTGGGTCAGGTATCCAGGTAAAATTCAGGGATCTTTTCGGGTTCGGCGCAAGGTATCCCCGCCCCGATTATATATATATATATATATATATATATAATATTTTATATTTTTATATTAATTATATATAATACAAACAAAACATTTAACCTAGGTTTCCTAGTTCCCGCTTTCCCCTTTGTATTTTCTATTCCTACGCAACCGCAGGCGGGTAAGCTTCACTGCTTCAGTCTTCGATTCTTCGTTGTATGATTTGAATGTTGGAACAAGTTTGTATTTAATTATGTATGTGTTTTATTTTGGAGTTTAGACAATTATTTAGAATTGGGTTTGAATTTGTGACTTTAGTTTGAATTGTAAATCTTGTAGACTAATTTTCCAGATTTTTGTGATCGTTTTTCTATTTTTTATGAAAACTACGGCTGCTCAATTTTTCTCGGGTTCGGGTCGGGTTCAGGTACAATATTTTCGGGTCGGAGATGGGGACTGGGCAAAAAAAATCCCCGATGGGGCGCCACGATAAAAACCTGACGAAGAACAGGGCGGGGATGGGGACGGGGGAAGCAAAACCCACCCTGTTGCTATTTCTACCTCAGGCTTTACCAATAGGAGATATTATGAAACTAGAAACAAAGCTAATCAAATGCGATTGGATTGGTTTTGTTTTAATTTTTCTGTAAAGTAAGTTAGAGGCGACAATGTTTAAATTATTATTTTATTCATTAATTTTTTTTAAAATTATAAAATACTAATAATTGAATTTAAAAATAATTATTAAACTTTTTTAAAAAATTCTAAATTTTCTTATTTTACATAAATTGTCATAAAATTTTCAAATATTTGATTCTCTAGTTAAGTTTAGAGATTTGGAGGGATGGAACATAGATAAAATAAATTATCGACAAAATGAGTTCAACAATGAGTGAGGATATTTGACGACAATAGTGACGAATAGATATGAAAAGTAATTTGGATTAAGAATTTAGAGTTTTTAGAATTGACAAATTTATAGTTTACGGATTGAGTGAATTAAATTTTTCTTTACTGTCACTTAAGTGTGAAAGTGGAGAATCGTTTCTATTTGTCAAACGATGGGGTTCGAGACGGGTGAAATCGCAGTGTTGGTAGGAATTATTATCTTAGAAAGGGTTTTTGGTCGTCGATGAGTTAGGATTTTGGACGGTTGAGCATATTATGATTTGTTTTAATCAATGATAGTGATAAAGACGGGTTATGGTTTTTTATTTGGGTAAAGTATATTAATGGTCACTGAATTTTTCTAAAACTTGCATTTAGATCCACCAACTTTTAAAACTTGCAATACAGTCCTCCAACATTTAGTCCGTTTGCAATATGGTCCCCGACGTAACCGACCATTTGACGCCATTTGCAATATGGTCACTGAACTTTTCAGGCGCTTGCATTTAGGTCCCCCAACTTTTAAAACTTGCAACACAGTACTCAATTTTATTCTAAACCCTAAATTCTAAAATAATTCAATTATATTTTAAACCCCAAATTCTAAAATACTTTAATTTAGGGTTTAGAATGTAATTAAAGTATTTTGGAATTTGGGGTTTAAAATGTAATAAGTGTTTTGAAGTTTTGAACATGAATTTGCTATTTGACAGTGTTTACTTCAATATAAATTTGAGGTTTATTGCATGCACATCCAACGGCTGCCGCACTTTGAACATGAAAAGTGCACCTGTCACGGTTATTGTATAAATCGTTGAAGTAAAAGTAACAAGGCCAATTTGTCTTGTTCGTAGTTGTCGCACTTTGGTATGACAATCCAATAGGTTTGGATAGAACTTGAGCATTTACATCTAACGGCTACGAAAATAGTAAAGAGTTTTAGTTCATAGGACTACAACATACAACCAAGCAATAACTAAAAAAACCAATAATATCAATTAATAACTCATTCAAAATGAGGACTTAATAAATAAAGGGAAAGAAGTTCGGTTATAGTCACTCCAAAAGCTAAGGCGTCAAATGGGTTGTTTAAGATAGACATTAGATGCCAAATACAACATTACCAGTTGTAAATGCATTAATGACCTACCCTTTTAACATATAATTACTTCTAATTCTCCAAGTTTAATGTTCCTCAATAGCCAAACATGATGAGAATCTAAAGCGAATAGTGAAACTAAAATCATAAGACCCCATAATTCTTGTAAATTCATGTCATGTCAGCAATAAAAGACATTGTAAAACATAAAGGACACTCCAACAAACATATATATGCCAGAAATGAAGGTGCAAATGTGCAATGACCGGGTAACATATCAAGTAGTTGCTCCAAATATACTACCCTGTCATGATGCCTTTCGAGTTGTGTGCATGCATAATTGTCTTCTAAAGTTATAATTCAATACAGATTCAACTGTAAAATTTCCAAAACATTTAAAAAAATTAAATTTGTTCACAATATATTAATTCCATAATCAACTTTTAAAACTTATTAAAAAGAATACGAGCTCACAGGACACCAAAAACCACAGGTCGGATCAATACAATTCTCAATAAACTAATACCAACAATCTCTCGGATTGAGCCTGACGATTTCACTATGTCGATACTAACAACCAATTCCCTGATTTAAAGAAAAATCAAACAAGAAGATTAAAAAATTTTAGCCTAGGACCCTCTTACACTTCTATTCTGATGGACTGGATATCTTTCATAAGGAGTACTAAAAGTTTTAATTAAGAAGAAAGAAATAAAACTAGATTGTTTTGGTTCAAAACTAGCACTGAATATCCAGATCCTTGACATGCAGTTCCAGAAACATAAAAATTTAAAAAAAAACACACAATGCGAGCTGAAAATGGGAACGTGCGAAATAGGAAAAGCTTACATCCGGATAGCCCAAAAGAGAAAATAAATACCTTCTTGCAAGTGAGGGGAGAGGCTAAGAAATAAATGTAGTCTGTATTGCGTTCCAGTAATTCTTCCTCTATTTTTTCTTTGTAAATAAAAAACTGAAAGACAGAGCACTACCTGGGTTTACAATTTTACATGGCGGAAAACTGAAGAACAAAAACCAAATGAGAGCGCATGTGAACGAAAGAGACTGGGAGGTGAATGCGTTGTTTGGGATTTCATTATATTTGATCATCTGTTGGAAAATCTTTAACCACAAGGATTAAACGAAGAAATTATTATATGATATTTATACAAAATAATTCTAGCTTTGTTGGTGACTTTCAACAATGATATTTAGTTCATCTTAGTAGTATTTGTCAACTCTGCATTTTTAACCCCATTTTTTTCTCACAAGCATTTCATCGAACATCTATGCTTCACTTGAGATGACATGTATATAACATTGCACCTTGAATCGTTGATGGTCCCGATAGTCCCTTGGTCGGGTCTTCTCTCAATGGACCCTTATTCAAGTCAACACCTCCACAGAATTCAAAGTTAGATTAGAATTTCCCATCCATCCCCGACTAAAAAGTTACGCTGGAAATGAGAAGAGAGAAGCAAAAACTGAAATTCGAGATTGAAAAGGAATTTGAGGTTTATAATGAAATTGAGGATTGTGTTGCAAGTTTTAAAAGTTGGGGGACCTAAATGCAAGCACCTGAAAAGTTCAGTGACCATATTGCAAACTGCGTCAAATGACCGGTTACGTCTGGGACCATATTGCAAACGGACTAAATGTTGGAGGACTGTATTACAAGTTTTAAAAGTTGAGGGACCTAAATGCAAGTTTTAGAAAAGTTTAGTGACCATTACTATACTTTACCCTTTTATTTTTAAAAATATACTTTTTAAAATATAATTTAAATTTTTTAAAATTTAGAAACACAACATATGTCACGTTTTAAGTAGTTGACGAAATTTTAACATCTATGACGGACCAAACATTTAAAATAGTAGGATAAATTATATATTTAATACCTAAACTATTAGTTTTAGACTGTTTTAGTGCTTAAACTTAAATTGTTTTCAAAATCATATATAATGTTTAGTTTTCATTTCATTTTAGTACCTGTCATTAAAACTTTAACACGTTTAGTACATAAATTATCATTTTTAATCTATTTTAGTACCTAAACTTTCAATTTTTTTAAAAAAATTAACATTAAAGTTTGAACGAGGTACTAAAATAAATTAAAAACTAAAATTTTTAATGGTGGATATTAAAATGAAACAAAAACTAAGCATTAGACATGTTTTTTAATTTTTTTTGAAAGTTTAGATACTAAAATGGATCAAAATTAATAGTTTAAGTACTAAACGCGTAATTTATCCAAAATAGTAAAATTATTAAAACTATAATTTAAATATTTTTTAATTAAAATTTTTTAATTGATAAAAAATAAAGTTTTCAACGACAACTACTAAAATAAAACAAAAATTAAACATTAGACATTATTTTTGAATACGTTAAAACACAATTTAAAAAAATATTGTAGGCACGTAAAATTAATAAAAACTATAATTTAAATATTTTTAATTAATTTGGGATAAGTACTATTTATTATTTGTTCAAATACAACTTTTAATCTTTTGATATTTATAATACTCGAACCAAATTTTGAATGAATACCAATAATTCTTTTACCACAAAAACTATTTAATTTTTTATTTAATTAAACTTTAAGTTTATCTAATTGTTACAAAACAATCATATTTTATAATTTCTATAACGTCGTAGTAGAAATGATCGTGGATCGAGTTTTTACGCCACCTAAACCCAATCCAAGTTTAACATCCTCCACTCAATAGGTTCTTAAGACCAGTAGATTGAATATAAAGAAAAAGTA